ACTTATCCAGTGCGCCACCGGGCCGGCCCCACCTCAATTGGATTTGAAGCCCTTTGCGAGCTAGAGCTATATTTTCTGTATTCATCACAGCAGTTGACAAAACTCTAAACAAAGAATCCAGCTCATTCAGCACCTTCTGAAGGTTCTTGGGGTACAGCTCTACTGTGAACCCCGCTGTGGGATGTGTTTGACAGTGTCTTTGTCCACAGTCTTGAAGGAATGAGAGCTAGAACACTGTTAGGCTCATAAAGACACCTTTAAGTATATTACAACCCAGCCTACTAGAATGTGTGAAAAATTGATGCTTTTCAATGTTTAAGAAAAGCTATTGCTATTTGGCCCCACAAGCACACATGGAACTTTCAAAGACTCAAGTGTCTTGTTAACTACTGATGATTTAGTGAATTATTTAATTCTTGGATTCAGAGATTTATGGTTTCTGAAACTGTGGCATGTGCTTTTGTCACTGAGGCCAGTGAACAGAAAGCATGATCTATTTATTTTTCTTGACTACAATCTTGCTATCTGCCTTTAGCCACAACAAATTTAAAAAGTCACCCTATAGTGGTGACGTTTGTACAGTGTGAGTGCACTTAAGGACATGGAACTGTACACATTAAAATGGTAAAATTATGTTATGTGCACTTTACCACAATAAAAAAAAATTATGTGATCCCAGATGGTCTCCATAATATCCAATAAGGAATTCTCCTAGTATTCTGAGAGAATATAATTCTAAATGATCATATTTTGCATAAAGCAACACAAGACCTCAGCTGTCCCTCAGAAACATCTGCATCTCCAGAGTCCATGAGACATCTGACCTCCTGGAAGGATCAAATCCTAAAATTAGAAGGCACCTCAGAGATCTAGTGCATCTACTTCATTAAATAATATATTATTAAACATGCTCATAATATATTATGAAAAAAAGCTCAAAGTAACAGGCATGTTTACATACCCCACCTGAACTCTAAATTTTTTGCCCTGTTAGCCCTGCCCCCTCCACCTCCATCCCCCCTCCCGAGGTCCGCAGGTATCGTTCCTGCAATGTGCTCGTCCACTTACCTCTTGGCATGTCTCTAAAGACAATATGCAAATGCCCTGCTACCTTTTGCCTTTTGCTCAACATAGTTTTATGATGATGTACAGTATGACAGTCCACAGGGTAAATGGACCACTATTGATCCATTCCCCGCCTGGAGGGTCACTGAGCTTTTTCCCTCACCTCTTGCTCATTACAAATAGCACTGCAGATAAGCATACTTGCATGCATGTCCTTGAACAGCAGGTGTGAGCTATTCTAAGAAAAACACTCGCAAGTGGACCACTGGTTCATAAGTATTATACCACTGTCATGAACTGAATGTCTGTGGCCCAAGATTCACTCATTGAAGCCTAACCCCCAAGTTGATGGTACTGGGAGGTGGCACCTTTGGGAGGCGATTACGTCATGAGGGCACAACCCTCGTAAACGGATTTAGTGCTCTTAAAAAAAAGGACCCTTGGGCCGGCCCGGTGGCGCACTTGATAGAGTGCGGAGCTTGGGAGCGCGGTGGCGCTCCCGCCGAGGGTTCAGATCCCATATAGAGACCGGTTCCCGCTCACTGGTTGAGCGCGGTGCGGGCGCAACACTGAGGGTTGCGATCCCGTTGCCAGTCACGAAAAAAGACAAAAAGGAAAAAATAATAATAATAATAAAAAATAAAAAAGAGAACCCAGAGAGCTCCCTCACCTCTTCTACCTTGTAACGACACAGGAAGAAAGTGCCATTTATGAACCAGGAAGCAGGCCCTCACCAGACAGCTCATGTGTCGGGCCTTGATCTTAGACTCCCAGCCTCCAGAACTGTGAGAAATAAATGTGTGTTGTTTATGAGCTGTCAATCTATGGTATCCTGTTATGGCAGCCTGAATGGACTAAGACGGCCTTGTTCACATTAGCTAGGTAATACCAAAGTGTTCTTCAAAATGACTGTGTCACCAAGACAAGACACTTAAGGAGCAAAACGCATCAGCAGGAGTGGGGTACAGTGAGGGTGGGACACTTGCAATCCCAGCCAGGGAAGCGTTTCAGCTCATGTGTGAGTGAAGGTGCCTAGGAGGTCTGTCAGGCCAAGATGTTTCGAGAACCACAAAAAGACACATGAAGACATTTGGCTCTAAGGCTGCAAGAGTTTGGGAAAAATCTGTGGGGATTTTGAGCAGATTTTCCTTGCCCTAAGAAATAAGGAGAAAAGGAAGAATGTATTCTTTTAGTTAATAGCTCATTAATTCTTTGTTGTGCTCTCCTTATAAAGGGGACACAATGGGTCCTGACCAGAACTGTCACCTCTGGCAGGTGGCCTACTGGTAGAACTTGTGTGGTGTGCTGGTTCTTGAGACTCAAGATCATACCTTCCATGTGAGAAAAGACCTACTTGGTGGGACATATTACCTAAAAATCCATTTCAAACTTGTTTTTAGAGCAGTTAGCTTTTAGTTCTTCCTTTATTTACAGCACATATTTAAATAAATGCCTATGAGCATATTTATTCATATGAACCTTCGTTTTATTTATAAATAGGCCCAAATATAACTGTTTGTCTCCCCAATAATGAGAGCAAGAACAACTATGTCTCAACACAGAAAACATGAATATAGAAAACATGACTGTATCTATGGATTTTGAATACAATAGTCATTTTTACATCCAGAGGGAAAGACTGCTAAACTGAATCTCCTAAAATTCAATTCCAGACTAAATCAAACCTGGTTCAGAGTCTGAATTTTCTCTGGGAACATCGTCATAGATCACTTCTTCCGGATCTGGAATAAAAAGGGAGAAAAACATTAAAAATTGACTAAAATCAACCAAGCGCAATTTTAGTTTTATAGGGCCATAATCTCTTATGATGTCATAATTATTAAAAAAAAATTATTCAAAATGCTCATTTATAAGGATAGTTAATGGTACCTTACCAAAGCATAAACATTATTTTTAGGCCAGAATATTTTGTTGGGAATGAGGAATATCACTCTAAAAGAAACAGGTGTAAAATTTCTCCAACAAGGAATTTTATGGTTCTCAGGCCAATCTATTCCATGATTTGGGGTTCAATTACACATTTTTATATGGCTCCCTTGTAAACATTTTTAAGTTTATGAGGTTAATGTGTTCTGATATACAAAATACAAAGGTGGTATGTGAGTTTCAGAAATAAAGGGAGAGTCCACTGGTGCTGTATTAAATGGAAACCATTAAAATAAACCGATGACTACAACATTTTATACCACTGGAGGTGAAAAGTAGCCACATACAAGTATAAAAATGCTAAACATATAGGACAAAGTTCCTTGAACTGTATGTACTATGTGAAACATTAGTGCCTGTGAGATTGTAACAATTTTCTTAAAAAGGTTGGGTGGGGAGTCCTCCACAGGCCAAATAGTATATACACTGTGTAAGATGAACACAGAAGTATAGCAACAAACTTGAAATTTTAAAAAATATTTGTAAAAGTTACATGCTTCATACGGAAATCCATTTCACAAAAGGACCTTTTAAATTAATTTTCCAAAATATTCATTTATTGGTGTTAGTCCCTCAGCAAGAGAATGCTCAAACTACAATGTATTACTGTACTGAAAACCATAAAGATAACTACTTACTAAGCAATCCAAGAAAGAAATGAAATAAATAAAACTGAACACTTCCCCTCACATTCACCCATGGTTACTATCCCCATATTATCAGGGGGAAATGTAAATTCAGGAAAATTCCTTATTTGTTGCGGCTGTCAAGGTCTAATACAGATGTTCACTCTCTTTTAATAACATTTATTAACTGCAACCACAGTAAATATTTCTATTCCTGATAGATAATATTGAGAAACTGCTAGTTTACAGAACTTACTTTCAAATATAGTTATTCTAATTAACTATCATCTGAATAATAAAAATGAGTAAAGGGGAGAATTCAAACAAATTTTACTTTGGAAATAAAACTGCTGGTGAATGGCAAGACAGTAATTTCATCCTGTAATGATCCTGATTTAATAGCTCCCTAACAGAATTGTCTAATTACACTAAGATATTTGTTTTGACAAAGTCATAATTAAAACCAGAATGAAATTATCCAGTAGATAATTTAATAATTAGGAGATAACTAAGATGGTTTACCTTGTAAGTCAATCACATAAAGCAATTACAGAGAAATTAGCAAGCCAATGGATAATAAAAGGTATAATTGGGAAAGTAATCTTTGCTTTTCTTATGAAAATTAAAATACAAATCTAGCTAAAAATATTTCAGCCTTTCAAACGACACATGGAAGAGAAGATCTGGGGCACCGTTTGGCAGTGGGTTGGCAGCAACCACGCACCCACCATTCAAAAATGGGACCATGACAAAGCACCTTGCTGCAGAATTGAAGCAAGATCACTCCGCCAATGTCTCAACACTGAATGGCTGACCGTGGCCTCCCCAATCTGTAGCTATTGTAACAGAAACAAAATCTGTACTTGAAAGAAACAATCAAGAGAGATAGGTGCTTGGTTGGAGAAAGCTGATAGCCTGATAGGAAATGAAGGGCTTCAGAGAGCCCCAGGGAAATTCTTACATATGAGGGCACTTCAAAACGTTCCTGGAAAAATAGTACTGAAAGCTAATACAATTGGTTTCATGAACTTTTTGAAATAACCTCATATTCAGCTTTTGCTAATATTCTAAGTAAATGAATATATTTTTAAGGTTTTAGATCTGATCTAGGACATGACACTGTCCCTCTACTAGTGATGTCTGTACAAGCTCAGTGAGGCTTCAGGCTCCTGGCGGTCAGCAGGACTTACTCTCCATCCAGGCTGTATTGGCAGGATCTGCAACCCATCGGGCAAGGGCACTGTCCTCTTTATTGACTTGATCTTCACTTAAAGAAAACAAACCATAAAATCAGAATATCGAGAAACACCCCCAATATTCAATGCCCCACAAGGGGTATATGTGTACATAGGCGCATGTGTGCATGTGCTACTATGCATGCAAATTGTATACTTTCCCAGGTATTATTACAGGAAATCCCAAGTTCAAATTTTCATTCAGAACTCTCTATAAATAAGTGCTTTTGAATGTCCACTATAAGCACAGCACAGTATCTGGCATGACGGGAATAGAGTAGAAATATAGTCCCTGCAGCAGAAGGCCTGAGTTGTCCTCCATGTTTCATCAGCCTCTTTAAGGGCCTCTTATGTGCCCCAGATGATGCTGGGTGTAGAGACACCCCCGAGTGAGATTGGGCCTTCTATGCCTCCAGTAACATGTTAGTGAGACAGACAGATACAGACCACCCAAAATAAAAAATGGTTGTGTGTCTATAGCGCGATGGTCATAGGACCAATCACAGTGTCTCACACAAACAGGGACTGGGGTTTTATCCTGTAGGTAGTGGGAAGCCATCGGAATGTTTTATTCAGAATATTTTCACAATCAGATTCTGTCCACAAACTGAGCGTCGCCTCTGTGAGAGGCACAGTTGCTGATACAACATACAGAGTAGCAATTGGGCTTCATGACGCCTACTCCTGCTAGGAGCATTTTTTTTTTTTTTGTCTTTTTCGTGACCGGTAAGGGGATCGCAACCCTTGGTGTGGTGTCGCCCGCACTGCGCTCAGCCAGTGAACGCACCAGCCATCCCTATATAGGATCCAAACCCGCGGCAGGAGCGTCGCTGCGCTCCCAGCGCCGCACTCTCCCGAGTGTGCCACGGGGCCGGCCCTAGGAGCATTTTATTAGGATAAACCAAGAAGCAGTGTAAAAACATTAACTTGAAGGAAAGGAGACTGGAAATAGGGTAAGCAGCTAGAGATACATATGGAAAGCTCTGAAAAACTTACATATGGAAGAAAATAATAATTAAAATCGGATTACATGACAATCCGATGCCACATTTTCAGAGTAACTGATGAGAGCAGATGCCTTCTCAGTTCACGGTCTCTCTCGTTATTTATTTTGCTAAAACTCCTAATGAGCCATGATTTTGAGGATGAAGGGCAAAAGCAAACGTCCAGGTAAAGACACAGCAGCTACTCCAGGTTGTGATCCACAACATGCTGTGCGTGGATGGGTCTGAAGAGTAAGAGACAGTCTCTGTACTCAAAGACTTTATCACATAAAAAAAGGAGTATTCTCGTACTTTCTAAGTTTGAAATTAGATCAAAACAAAAAGTTACCACAAAAAGAATAAGAGAAAAACTGAAGCAAATATAAATGCTATTTTAAATTATTCCTGAATGTTTCCATATGTTTAAAAAATGTCATACTTTTGAAAATCATTTGAGGTTATCATCACACCACATTTTATATTCTTTCTTCAAAAAACCTGGGCCGGCCCGGTGGCGCACTGCTACGGTGCGCCGCTTGGGAGCGTGGCGGCGCTCCCGCCGAGGGTTCGGATCCCACATACGGACTGGTTCCCGCTCACTGGCTGAGCGAGGTGTGGGAGCAGCACCGGGGGTTGCGATCCCGTTGCCGGTCCCGGTCAGGTGCGGGCGCGACACTGAGGGTTGCGATCCGTTGCCGGACACTAAAAAAGACAAAAAAAGGAAAAAACAAACAAACAAAAAAAAACCATCCTTTCCATGGACATATTTTTCACAATCAGTTTTAGATTGCCAATGATTACATGCCATTGCGATCTAATATTTAGTTATATACAGAACTGTGATTTCTAATAAAGGGTCTTGGCTGGCTCTACTTTGTGACATAATTCTGTTTTTAAACTGGAAAGAAAATTCTTGTGAAGTGAGTACAAGGTACCTAAAAAGTGTGTGGAAAAACAGAATTAAAAAAAATATGAATTGGGCCGGCCCGGTGGTGCACTGCTATAGTGCGCCGCTTGGGAAGTGCGGTGGCGCTCCCGCCGAGGGTTCGGATCCCACATACAGACCAGCTGCTCACTGGCTGAGCGAGGGGCGGGAGCGGCACCGAGGGTTGCGATCCCGTGGCTGGTCCTGGTCCAGTACGGGCGCAACACTGAGGGTTGCGATCCGTTGCCGGTCACGAAAAAAGACAAAAAAGGAAAAAAAAAAAAAATGAATCTTTCCATGAACTTTCTGAAGTACTCTCGTACTTTTCCCCAGAAATCCTTTTTTGTTTTTTTAAAGGCTTTCACGTAAGGGATACTTTAACCATTTAAAAAGCCAGCCTTGGGCCGAGCCCATGGCGCACTCGGGAGAGTGCGGCGCTGGGAGCGCAGCAGCACTCCCGCCGCGGGTTCGGATCCTATATAGGGATGACCGGTGCACTCACAGCGCTCACTGGCTGAGTGCGGTGCAGCAGTTCTCAAAAAGGACAAAACAAACAAACAAACAAACAAAATAAATAAATAAAAAGCCAGCCTTAATGACTGAATGGAAAAAAAAATGAGTGAAAAAAACAACCAGCAACAGGGCCAAGGATTCATGGCCAAGCTCTGGCCACTACATCTTGATGCTTGAAATAACACTCAGCTCTTCCCATCCTCTCCCTCTGCTTTTGCTGACCCTGCACGTACAAAGGGGACATCTGGTAACCAACCTACTTGGTGAAAAGGGAGATGCCTGAGGCAGGAAAGGAGGCCTGGGGCAGCCCACACCCACAGGGGAGGTGAGGAAGGGACAACCCAACACCGCCATTGGGCGGGAGAGCACATCAGGAACACCATATCCAACACTTCAGGAAAAAGGCATGAATTCAGAATGTATGTGTAAAATTAATGAAGATACCTATTTGGAGGGTCCTCAGAACTTAAAGAATTACACTGGTGATCTTCTTCAACTTCTGGTGCTTCAGCTAGAAAAGAAAAAAAATTGACATTATTTTAAGCCTGACAAAAAAGTTTATGAAGTTGATTTTTTACCCTTAAAATGATTTCATATTTCCCTTTCTTAACATGCTTATCTTAGAATAAAGATGATTAACTGATAAGCTTAAAATTTTTGAGCTTTTAGGTAAAATGTATTCAAACAGGATTATAGTAACATGTGATATCCCAAGGTCTTATGAAACAGCCAGAAATAAAACACACCGGCACCCAAATAAATCAGGCTAGAGTTAAAAAGAAACATAATACACTGTAATCTCTCCCATCTCTTAAGTTTTCATGGGAAATTATGAGTGTGATTTATTTGAAGGTGTGTCACCCTGGGAAACTCAAAAGATTTCCAAGGGAGAAACAGTTAAGCTTGGGATATTTGACAACCAAACTTTTACACACGCACCCACACACACAAGGGTCCATCTCACAAGTCCTATCTGATTGGTGTTTTCCTCCCATCTCTGTTCTGTTTTACTAAGATAAGTGGTGAGCTCCACAGCGCAGGCTCTCCATACATTTCATGCAGGTGGAATACAAGTTTAGACGATCAAAGAACAGCCTGAGGTGCATGTGTAGAAGAGGGAAGAGACCTTCCCACTTCAGAAGGCAACGGAGGGGAGATGGGAAAAGGATGTTATTGCGGGCATGACCCACTTGGTCTTTTGATGGACTCTGTCCAGCCCCTCAACATGGCCCTGAGAATTGACATGGGGAAGGTCAGTTGACCATGCTCAGCCAGTGGCTGGTTGTTCATGACTACACTGGCAAAGCTGTCCACAAGATGCCTTCTATAAGGGGTTTATCTTATGGGTAAGCAGCAGTCCTTAACTGCTTTCAAACTGCTTGACAGTTGACTCAAAGTCCAGGGAAGGTGAGCTCAGAGTAATTAGGTTGGAGATCTCACCAATAAAAATGGTCTCCTGGTCACATTAGTTTCTGCCACATAGCCAGAGGCCAGATTGTAACAGACACAAGCTGCTGAATGGTGGGGATCTGCTGGGTAGCACACTGGTAATTCTATAGGCATTAACTTGTTTTGTTTTTCAGGCAGAGAAAAGTTAGGCACCTTTCCAAGGGCCACACATCAGGTCAGAGGCAGGGTCAGGATTGGAAATCAAATCCGCCCACTCCAAAAACTGCTCCTCCCACCACACTACAAGGCCTCAAAGAATCATCCAAACGACCCCTCAAAAGACAAAATTATTCCACAGGTTGACAGAGACAGAACATGTTGATTGGCAGTGGACGCACTCTACAGAGTGAATTGTTTCCGCAGAGAGTGGGTCAAGAGCTCAGGTCTGGTGTGCAGGGCTCTGGCCCCCATCCCTAACTGCAATCTATGCGCACGTGCTCGCAGCCGCCCCACCAGGAATTCTTCCTTCCTCAGGCTCCCCCTTTCAGGAAAACAGATGCACTCAAATTGAGTGTTCACCAAAACACAGGACCTTTAAATGGAAGGTCACTAGAAGGTGAACATGCTCACCAGGGAGCTCTCCCCCAGTCGTATCAACTGCATGCTTATCGTTAATCCTGGATGCAGACACTGAGTTCTCTGGCCATCAGAGGACACTAACGCACCAACGGACAAAAGCAGGACCTGCCTCAGAAGCTGCTCTTCAGAACTGGCTTTGGACAGCAAGGAAAATAATGGAATCTGGCTATTCCTGCATGTCCAGGATTGAGTTCCAGGTGGGGCTCTGGAAAAGAAACCACCTCCTGCTGCTGGGACGTGCCTCCTAGGACAGCCCTGTGAAGCCAGGTGGCCGTCCCATCTCCAGGGGGGCCCACAGGGCACAGACAGCTAAGAAGCCAGTGTTATACGGGCTTTGAACCCAGGCCCGACGCCAAAATCCACGCTTTACCGCCATCTCAGGAGAGAGGTTGGTGTACTCTTTAAAGGATCATAAGACAAACAGACACACTTGTTCTTTGATTCTGGGACTGACAATAGCGTTTATTGTGATAGAGTCTTATTACTGGCTCTACGTTGACAGCATAAAAATAAGCAAATTATTTTAAAATCATGCTGAATTATTTTTTAAAATAAATTACTTTAAATGATGTTCGAGTACTTAATAAAATTTTAAAATAAGCAAATTACTTTAAAATAAATATATTTTCCTTAAGTACAAAATCTCCATAATCCACACTTTCTTTTTTTTAGATGGCTCTTACTCTCTAAGGTTATAGAATAAGAACACTATTACGGATCGTGGTAAATTCCCAGGATTATTGCCAACTTCAACAGGAAAACACGTGGGAAAACATCTATCCTAGAAACCCTCTATGGTTTCCAAAATTCAAACTCATGATTTTTGTTTAAAGAATATTTTTATCACAACTATTATTAACTGGAAAAGAAAGGAGCTTTTTATTGAAGTCTTCACACAAATTACAGTTCTGTTTCCAAAAGGCCAGTCACCCCAGATGCCACTTTCTTCCATCAGAAAAACATCTCACATACCCGGGGGATTCCTATGGTGTGTCTTGGGAAAGGTAACAGACAGACTTAGGTGAGAGAAGGAAAAATTCAGCCAAGACTCTTGGACTGGGTCAGCTATGAATGTAACGAGCATTGCTTCTGCAGGAGGAACAGTTCTGCACTTGCAGCTGTGCTCGTAGCACCGGGGCCTGCAGCAGGCCTAGCAACGGGGCTCGCACACTGAACACACTCTCCTTCCAAACCTGAAATATAAAGCTCTGCAGAAACAGCTGGTGCCCGAAGGACACAACCAAGGATCACAGGGAGAGATAACAGAGAACAGGCTTTGACAACCAGGCCACTCGAAGGCATGCGGTGGCTCCTCCTCACCAAGAGAAGGTGAAAGCAGAGATTCTAAACCAATGTCCCTTCAGAGCTGAGGACACGAGGTCAGTGAGGTGAACAAGATGCCTATGTGTTCATCAATGCTCCTGACTCAGCGCCCTGGGTGTGGCTGGAGGGACAGGGAGCAGCTCCTCTTGCTGTCCTCGCCTCCCCACCTCCACACCACTCCTATGTGCGGCTGGTTTCCCGAGGATCCTCTGACCTTCCATTGCTGGCTTCCCAGCATGCTCGCTGGACATCTCCCCAGGTCCCCTCTTTTGAGGAGAAAAAGTTTTGCAAGGAGAGAGAGAGCCCCTTCTCAGCCCTTCTCTCTCCTTCCTTGTTCCCATGGATGAAGACAGCTGACCTCATGGAGCCTGAGTTTATGTATTAGTAGATGACATCAGAACATATACAAACATAACTATCACTTAGCAGAATAAATGACAAATGCCAAAGAAGGTGCACAAGGTTTGCTGAGCACTTGGTGGCCAGCGCCAGGAAACGGAGTAGAGTTCACACAAGTCCTCCCCAACAAGAGGAGGCAACACACTTGGGATCAGACCTTATTTCAAAATTTTCCAAACACTATCTTGATCCATCACACATTGTACACAACTACTGAAAACCAACTTTGTACCCTACATATATGTATAATAAATTATTTAAAAAAAAAAAGAAAGAAAAGAAATTTGTGGATCCAAAAAAAATTTTTTTTCCTAACAATAATTCTGATACCTTTCCTTAATTGTGTTCCCGTCATAGAAGAAAATTAATTTGGGGTTCATTTTCCCACTTTGCAAACACACACTGATGACAGGGGAGAAGAGAAGATCGGGCACAGACATCAGGGGCGGCATTACCTTCTTCCTCCATGGATGCGGCGCGGAGGATGACTGGGCTGGAGTAGGCGGGCAGCAGGAGGGGCAGGCTGGAGGGGACGGCGTAGCCGCAGGGCACCGGCACCGAGTACCCACTGGGCACGTGTGTGAGGCCCACAGCCTCTTCCTCAGCATCCGGGGCTGGGGTTGGGGGCTGCTCTTCCTGGAATGGCGTGATGTCGATGACGGAATACGGGTTCACTTTCGTTGGGACCACGAGTCTGACAGGATCCACCCCTGCCATGGTTTCTGTTGCTTTTCCATTCTCACCTCCTGGAGGATGGAAAGAAACAAATCAGCAAACACACCGTCCAGTGCCCAGTGGACCTTCTCTCCCACAGTGCAGGCAAGGAGAAGGTGGTGATCCCCCACACTCTAACAGTAGGACCCCCTGGACATTCCAGGTCATTGAAGGAGGCTGTGAGGCCACTGTCTACACAGGGGGACTTGGAGGGAATGCCCCTGGAGCACGGTACTCTGGGAAGCAGTTGGGTCAGTGCCACCTCTGTGCACAGGGGAGACAGGCACAACCTGGCAGCTCCCAAGACAGCTTACCCAATGAGATGAATAAGTGAGAAGCTGCCAGAGGCAGAGGAATTGTGAACCATACCTAGACTTTTTGCTATGGACAAAGAAACCCAATGCTGGTCCCCTGACTACAGTATGGTCTAAGCAGTCCATCTGGTCAGTGAATAAAAGCACCCAAATCCCCCCACCAGGGCTAAAAATAGAAACCTTTACTGTTAATTCATCTCCAATGGCGTTGTTTTTAATGTTTAATGTGACACAGTGATATAATAATGATGAGGCAATTTTTATTAGAAAATAGCAATACTTTTCTCTCCAAAATGTAAACAGTAACAGGCCGGCCCGGTGGCGCACTGCTACAGTGCGCTGCTTGGGAGTGCGGCGGCGCTCCCGCCGAGGGTTCGGATCCCACATACAGACCGGTTCTGGCTCACTGGCTGAGCAAGGTGCGGGCACAACACCGAGGGTTGCGATCCCGTTGCCGGTCCCGGTCCGGTACGGGCGTGACACTGAGGGTTGCGATCCGTTGCCGGACACGAAAAAAAAAAAAAAAAGTAAGCAGTAAGGTAGAGTGACAAGATTGAGAACTGTGGAAAACGGCACAAAGGAACCCAGCCAAACGTGAATGAAGAGATCCCAGTTACATCACAGAAGAATCATAAATCTCTCACTCCTAGAAATCGGCCTTTCCCCATAATGTTGCAATAAGGAGGGAAGAAGAGGAGAAAAATCAGTGAGCGCCTGAAGACGACAGCACCAGCCCCATGGGGTGGCCTGGGACGCACCTGCAGGGAAGGCAGCTTCACTGGCTTCAGCGTTTCTTGTCTCGGGGCCAGAGGGGGCTTGTCTATCGGCTTCAGGAACTTCATCTCCACTGTCAAAATCAAACTGTTCTCCCTCCTCCTCTTCATTATTATTACTATCATATTTTACTTCATTTTCTAAAGTTTAAGAAAACATAAATTACAGTGTTAGCCTTTATTAACATTACAACGATTTGTACATTGCTGTAAAAAGACAAATACCAAAAAAAGACCATATACACACACACACAGAGCCAGAGACACTGACTAAGTTACGTCATACTTGTAGTTAATCTTTTTACTGGGAAAAATATATATCATTAGAATTTGGGGTCAGAATTTTTTTATTTCCTTTTTTTTTTTTTTCCTTTTTTTGTCTTTTTTCGTGTCCAGCAACGGATCGCAACCCTCAGTGTCGCGCCCGTACCAGACCGGGACCGGCAACGGGATCGCAACCCTCGGTGTTGCTCCCGCACCTCGCTCAGCCAGTGAGCAGCCGGTCTGTATGTGGGATCCGAACCCTTGGCGGGAGCGCCGCCGCGCTTCCCAAGCGGCGCACTGTAGCAGTGCACCACCGGGCCGGCCCCTATTTCCTTTTATTATAACCTACAATTCACAGCTGGAAAAGCTGGGGAAGCAAAGACTTGACAATACAATGCATTTTATGTCACAAACAATAAGATCTGTCATGCAGACTTTTAAAAGAAAACAGTTAGCTGAATTTATTTTTTAAAGACCAGAACACTATTTGCTATAATCTCAAATCTGTAGAGGGTCATTTTCTTCAAAAAGTTTTTTCAGGGGAAAAAATGCACACCCTAGACTTAAAATGCTCTGAAATAGCATTAAAATCCTCTATGTCTACTTGAGTATGTGTATATTATATATAAAAATACTTAATCAACTATCTTTATAAATATTTTATTTCTAACAAACTAACTCAACCCTATTTTTCCCACAGCTATTTCATACCAGACAGTAAATGACAGAGAACATGGAACGTGAACGTGCAGAACTGTCTGTGTCACCAGAGAATACCTGTCCCTTGAGCACCAGGAAGTCACCCTGAGAGTCACCGACCTGAAACTTCTCACTGAATGCACAGGCAAAAATGCTCACCTTCAGTGCCAACAAATGTCTAGGTGGCCAAAGGTAAAAGGAAAAAAAGAAAGAAAAGGAAAAATGATGCAAAAGGCAACCTTTGGTGGAAAGTCCAACCGCACTCAGTTACTCAATGGGTTCTGCACAAGCCCGTAGGTCCCTACCCCACTTGGCTCATTCCCTTCCCACTGGAACAGCAGGGGACACCAGCCCCTCCCTGTCCATAGCACACCTACTCCCCCAGGCCCCTCTCAAAGCACCTGGAACACAGAAACCAGTCACCCCTCCTCTACCTGGCACCATCTCTACCTGCCACTCTCGGCATCAACTCTCTACCTTCCACTTGATGCTTTTATCTAAAAATAGGCTGGTTGGCCCCCATCTCAGGGGGTTATCCGCAGGGATGGGTCCCATATCCCCGTACACTTTACCCACGAACAGTGCGGAGATGGTGATGCCAGGGCTAGGTCCTGGGATGGAGAGTGCCTGTTCCTGCGCCAAGTCACAAGTGCTAGTAACAAGGACAAGGCACTGGAGCAGCTAGGATGGGTGTGGACCCCCCACAGAGAGAGCAGGAGCCTCTCCTGCTTCAAATCCCCTCAACGCTGGCAGCACAAAGGTCAGAATTTGGGAAAGTCCCCTTTTTCTTAAGTCATAACCCATCTAGTTTATAACTCATTCTGCCATGTTGAATGGGATGTTCCAGAAAATCAGTCATCTTCCCAAGGAGGTACTCTGGGTGAGGCTGGACATCACCCCCAGGAAGATGGCAGAGGTTAAGACACATTCCTGCCCACTCCCAGGGAAGGGTGGGGGTCTCTTTCAGGACCCTCAGCAGGCACCCATAACAACTTTGTAATGAACGAGCAGACGGATGCACCCAGGAAAGAGAGCATGGGAAAATGACCTGGAAACCGGTGACCTCGGGGTCAAGGACCTGCTGTGCAAACCATCCTGATGAAGAGTGGCCCCTCCCTGCTGCATCTGCGGGTGAGGACTTGGCTTCCTGCAGCCACAGAACGTTCCAGCTGAGCCACACTGTCACGTGATTCTGCTGACACACACGCCCACTGTTCTCATGCACCCATTCACTTCTCAATGTCAGAAAAAATAACCAAGTCACACGTGCCTTTAAGTATTTTAAAAGGAACTTGTGTGGAATGTACAGACTTAGAATACCGTTAAGTTCTCTGAGAACTAAGCCAATGAAAACACTGAGTCAGGGGCCCAAGTTGTGCGGAGGTAGGTATTTCTTGGTGGCAGATGATGAGGGGGATAAGGGGCTGCTCAGAGACCCCCGTGTCCTCCCTACCCCACCCCTGGTCTGGGGCACAGAGCCTCATCTCTTCCATTCCAGGCCGAGGCTCAGATGGGGTGAATTCCAGGGATGGCATCAGGGCTGTGGGAAAGGGCAGAAGGAGGGTGAGCTCCCCTCTGTTCCCGGGTGGGCACGGGTGCATCGTCCCAGCACACTGTCACCAAGAAAACCTGTCCCCTCCAACCATACCGCAAGGTCCACTGAAGCTCATCTCTACCTCGGGACAGGGCCCGGACCAGCAATATCCAAGCGTCTTAGACGCAAATGAGGCTATGTTCTCTTGAAAAAGGAAAAGGATTCCAGGGAGGGACCACGGGTGTCAGAAATCATTTCCAAAAGTAAAAAGTGTGATGCTGCGTCCTCTACCAAACCGTCAGCCCAGCAAGTGGTTCTCATCTGCTGGGTGCAGGCCAGAGAGGGAGATGCAGAGCTGCGAGGTGGGGGCTTTGCCAAACCGGACCTGAGAAGGTGTGAGGGGAGAGCGCTGGGGTGTGGGGACAGTGAGAAACACCTGAGGACTGAGGCGGGACCCGAGGCACGTGAAGGGGCAGTAAGACATGGACAGGCAGGACGACCAATGTGGGCAGCGGACAGCACAGGAACTGCTCGACCAGGGGCGACGCTGGGGTGAGATGCTCCAAACTAAGGTTTTGGGGGTGGAGCAATTTCTAGGGAGGGAAATCTGCAAAGATGTTCCTACTTAAGTCCCTCTACACTCTTTCCAGTTGAGCCTCCTGGGTCCAGATGAACTCTGATGGTCTAAAAAAGAAGACTGCTTTAAATTTGAGGTGCTTATTTTTCCCTGGAATCTTCTATATCAGTAATACATTCTAAGAGGGCCTTTTGAAGGAAACAGGTTTTCATGTCACCCATGAATGAGGAGAGGAGTCAAGTCTGAAGAAAGGTGAACCGAGCCCCTTCCTCCCCTGCCTTCAGGGGCAGGGGGGCCTCCCAGCAAGGGCCCAGGAGGGCGAGACCCCCACCTGCCCAACACACACAAGGGGTCCCAGAGCATTCTGGCATTACTTTCCACCTACCATTTAAAAGTTTTAAAAGTACGATCATGACAAATATTTTAATGGAATCAAGAAGAGAATTCAGATAAATATTCTTTTTAAAAAATATATAATTCTGATACAAGAGTGCACGCTGGTGCCCTTCTGGATGGTAAATCGCCAATATCTACCAAAAGCTTCACCCATTTCCTAGTAGATACACGTGAAAGTCTACCATACAATTTTGAATTTAAGCCAAGGGAAGAGAGTTGGAAGTGGAGAAAACCATTACTTTCACTATTTTAGACTTGTTAATTTATGTGCTTTCTAACCAGCTCTTACTGTGCCCAAAGTGACAATAAATAATACATATTTTAGAAGGGGTTTGGGTTTTTTTGCTGTTTCATTAAGTAATCAATTTATTAACATAAACTGGTGAACAGATTTTAGAGAAATAAATCTCTTAGCAAAAAACAAAATCATTTTCCAGAATATTTTCCAAATACAATTGTTATCATC